ACGAAAATAATGAAAAAGACTCCAAGGGGTTCTTACGATCAAGTTACCGATACGACTACCAATACAACTTTAGTACGATACAACGACAACAATATCGTGACAATAGCATCGACTGAAAGCGGAGTTGAGCCGCTTGGGAAGGTGAAAAGATGGTGCAATAACAAAAGAGTCGAAATCGATCAGCCACACTGTTACCTATTATATAACAAGTTCATGGGTGGCGTGGATAGACTGGACCAGAATGTAGGCAAATATAGAATCGACATAAGACTAAAAAGATGGTATTGGCAAATGATGATGTTTCCTATAAACGTTTGTGCTAATAACGCATACCAACTTTACCGCCTTTCACCAGCAGGCCAGGCTAAGGATAGTCACGACTTTCTGTTTTTCACGAGATACATAGTTCCAACTTATCTTATTCTCGGTAAAGCCTCTTCTTCAATTCCTAAACGACTTAGTACCAGGTTACCCATGACTACCAAGAACAAACTGCCTGATTCTATAAGATTAGACGAGAAAGGACACTACAAAATCCGTAATGAAACTCAAATTCGTTGCCGCCAATGTCACAAGAACACCAAATTCAAATGCAGTAAATGTGAAGTTGGTTTGCATCAACATTGTTCTCGAATTTTTCACACCATAAAATGATTATTACGCATATTTTTATTATATTTTCGGAGCAAAACGATCTTATTTCTTTTTTTTTAATACTATTATGTTTGTAGTTCATTTTAAACAATAATAAAACAACTTTAAAAATACCGTGAGTTGTTAATATTCCATACAAAACCCGTAGGCATATTGTCCCAGCGCCCCATTTAAGGTGCGGTCCTGAAATTCAGTCTACATTTATATGAAAAATATAAAATCCATATTTTTGTCTCTTTTGAACTCTTATTATTAGATATTTCTAAAAAAAAAAAAAATTTTCTGTCATCTTAGAGTCTTGGGATAATATGGGTTAACAAATATTTTAGTGTTAAAATTGATATCCATAGGGGATGACATATCTTTACAATTTTCCATATTAAACCTTTTCAAAATACTTTCCAAATAACTTGTTTGATCCAGTTCAGTAATACTTGTTTCTAAATTTTGCTTTACATTTATACCCAGAAAATTTGATATTAACCCCATGTCTTTCATTTCAAATTCTTTATTCAATATGTTCTTAAGTTTTACAATATGTCTCTCATTTGTACCAAAAAGTAAAATATCATCGACATATAATAAAACATACATTTTGTCTTTGCCAATACACCTCTTAAATAAACATGAATCATTTTTAGACTTAATGAACCCCTCTCTACTAATGACAGAATTGAATTTATTGTTCCAACACTTAGGTGAATTTTTGAGACCATATAATGCTTTCTTTTATTTGACAACATTTTTCTCCCCAGAATAAGCCCCTTCTGGCAATTTTAAATAAACATCTCTATCTATATCACCATATAAAAATGCCCCAGTAACATCCATTTGATATATTGGTAAATTCAAATGAGTAGCTATTGCAACAAAAACTCTAAAAGTTGAAAGCTTTGCAACAGGAGCATAAATTTCACCTAAATCAAAGTCACTATCCTGTTCGAAACCCCTAGCCACTAGTCTAGCTTTGTACTGGTTGTTACTATTTCCCTTGAACTTAATAACCCACTTGCTACTAACAATATTTTTACTCACCGGTGCATCACTAAAAACCCAAGTATTATTATCATTTAAGGTTTGTAATTCTTTCTCAATTGCCTCTTTCCACTTACTTGCATCCTTCCTTCCCATGGCCTCTTTGTATGTAGTGGGTTCACTTTCTTTACTTACAACATTATGGCACTGATAAAATGATGTCTGCTTCCTCACTCTCCTACTCCTTTCTTCCTGAACTTCAGTTTCCTCCCCCTCTGATGATTCATCATCACAGGGTTCATATTCACTATGAGACTCGCTCTCTCCTGTAGATTCATCATTAAGAGTAGTGACGGTATCGCTTGTACTTTGAGTTCCTCTGTTTTCAGTCACCTCATTCACCTTTGTTTCTAAAGTTTCATCTTGAGTGAATTGCCCATTCAAATCCAACATGATTGTCGGTTCATTCTCTTTACATATATCTTGATTGAAGAAAACCACATCCCTCTTTGTATCTATACAATTTCTCTCAGGAAAATAAACCCGGTAGCCTTTCACATGTTCACCATAGCCAATCATTATTCCCTTTTCCCCTTTTGTGTCCCATTTTCTTCGCTTTTCCTTTGGAATGTGTACATACACGGGGCAACCAAACACCTTCAATTGATGAATGTTGTATTTTTTGTTTGTCCATATTTCATAGGGTGATTTTCCCTCTTTGCCTTTTCCTGTCCTGTTTAACACAAAAGCAGCTGTGTTTACTGCTTCAGCCCACAGTTTCTTAGGCAGATCCTTAGCATGCAACATAGTCCTTGCGGCTTCAACAAGTGTTCGATTTTCCCGCTCAGCCTTCCCGTTTTGTTCCGGTGTATAAGTTACAGTAGTTTCATGAATTATCCCTCTTTTCGAACACATTTCCATCACTTCTTTGTTTATAAATTCTAATCCGTTGTCAGTCCTTAAAGTCTTGACTTTATTCCCAGTTACATTCTCCGCCTTATTCAGAAAATCCTCCAGACAACGTTTAATCTCATGTTTTGCTTTGACAAAATACACAGTCCTGAAGTTAGAATAGTCATCCTTCAAAATAACTGGAACCACCAATCGATTCTTCTTCCATGGGTCCACATGTATCAGCATGTATTATCTCACACGTCCTGGTGGTTACGCTGTCACTTTTCTTAAATGGTAACCGGTGAATCTTTCCCTTTAAGCAGCTTTCACATTGAGGAACTGAAGATTGTTTTATTTCAATGTTATTCTTCACGTAGTCAAAGTGTTGATGAGCCAGCTTTTCATGCCACTCGTTCAAATTATCTGTAGCTACCTTTGCAACACTTGCAACTTCACATTTGAAACGAAAATCCAAGTAATATGAGTTCTCAAGTCTTTTTCCAATTGCACAAACAACGCCATTTTTGAGAAATTTGCACGAGCTGTCATCTGTCATTATGACATATCCCTGGTCAGCGGCGCGGTTCACAGAGAATAAATTAGTCTTTAGATCAGGAACGAATAACACATTGTCTATAGTCGAGTCAATCCATTCACTTCCGTTATTGACTAGCACCGCCATCTGTCCATATCCTAACACACTTATGACCGCACCGTTACCAACTATTACCGATTTTTGCGCAACACTTTGAAATGATGAGAACAATGAACGATCGCGGCACATATGTTCACTAGCTCCAGAGTCAACTAGCCACTTTGATTCTTCGTATTGTTTATGCACTGAGTCCGACACAATAAATGCATTACTCATCTTCTTATTGTCCTTTGACCTTCTAAACCGACACTGTGCTTTGTAATGTCCGATTTTGCCGCAGTAAAAACACTTATTATCGTTCACCTTTTTCTCACTATCTCTATTACTTCTGCACTCTGTTTGAAAATGTCCCGATTTACCGCATCTATAACACTTAAAGTTTCTTCTAGCTACAAACGCCGATGAGGACGGTGTGCTATCTTTTTCTTGTGTCTTTTCTTTCAGTCTCTCCTCCTCGATTAGCAGCCTAGCCACTAAATTATCAAAAGTCTGTTTGTCTTCTGGAGCCGACTCCCAAGCTGAAACAAAGTGTTTATACTCGTCCGGTAAACTCATTAACACTTTAGTTATAGCGAACCTATCTGAGACTTCCTCGCCCAACTGTTCCAGCTGATTTTGTATTTCATGTATGTTAGACAAAAATACAGACATTTCAATTCCTTTTTCATATTTATACTGGAAAAATCGCTGTTGGATAATATGAATACTTGTCTCAGATTTCTGCTCGTATACACTGAGAAGCTTCTTCCACATTTCAGACGAAGTTGTACAAGTGACAAGATGTAACATTACATCTTCAGACATCCTTGTCACCAGAAGTGTTTGAGCTTTCGCGTCCTTCGACTCCCAAGCATTTCGATCAGTAGCATCCTCAGGTTTCACAGTCCGTCCTTCTACAATATTCAGCCAACCCTGACCCCTAAAAAGTACGGTCATTTGGAATTTCCATATATTCCAGTTCCGAGCTCCTTCCAGTTTCATAACATTATTCGTGATATTCATTGGATTTGCTTCCATCGCGCTGCCTTTCCTTGCTATTTATCAAGAGCAAGTAATTCCTTCTCGACGAAAATTTTATTGGCGCGTTCAGACCTACCCTCACTTTTCGCCGATATAAAAAATAACGCTCGATGTTATCACTGATTCTACTTTACTTTATTTTACTAACAGGTATGCGCTTCTGGGCCCATAACCTGTACAAACTAATGAAATGAAAACTGTTTTTGTTTTAACGTTGTTTTTATTTAAGTAACTATTCGGTTTTCTTGCACGTTACATGAGGAAGAGATATATGATAGTCAAGCCAACCGTACCATAAAAAACTTAAAAGTACCACTACCAACTTAATATTATAATTTGTGTTGCCATATTATTCTAACAAAGATCACTACTAGACTGAATGCGCGTTTACTACTAGACTATAAGGTTAAATAAACATCACCTACCGCTTAAGGGACCCTAGTAATACGAAAACTCAAGCAAATACTTTGCCGTTTGTAACTAAGGATATCTAGGTTCACTTCATTCAGTTCATGATCACCTGGTACATTAGGGGCTGATATTGATTACTGAACTATTTTATTAAATTAAATTTAATAATAATCAAAGTTGCAAAACACAAACTGAACTTATAATTTTACCTGAAACACAAATTTGGATATTGTGTGTTATATCCTGCTTTGTCTTCTAACGACAGAAAACACCAGCACGGAATCATAGTATACTAATACTGGCTTACATAAGCGATTTATATTGCTTAATAAGAACGTGAACTACGTTGCAGTGGTTACAGCTATAATTTATTAGTAACAAAGAAACCGATATGCCACTCGTTTCAAAATCGCCTCCTGCAGCATCATCCACAGTCGCCTTAAAAGATCAGTCTTTTATGTCATTGACGCGTTCCGATCCAAACCTAAGCTTAACCTTGGAAGATGACTCAATACACGTTTCACAACGCATCAAGAGGAAGCGTAATGATGACAATGAATCTGCTCTAGCAGATAACTTTAAAGCAGAGATATTAAACATGTTTAATGAGATCAAACTAGGTCAAATAACACACGCGTCTTCTTTACAATCGACAAAAGAAGATTTAATGGCACAAAATAATCAGCTACAAGAGTCAGTCGAATTCATGTCTCGACAGTACGACGAATTGTTGAATAGAATAAAAAAAGCTGAAGAAGATAGAGATAGTGATCGAAAATACATACATTTTCTAGAAGGTAAAATTGAAAACCTAGAAAGGCAAAATCGAATTGCGTCATTAGAGATCAGGAATATTCCAAAAAAGGATAAGGAAACGAAAAAAGATCTTGTTGATACAGTTGTGGAGTTAGGTGAAATAATCAATGTAGAAATCCAACCCATGGAAATTAAAAGATACCTACCGTATCCACGCCAAGACTGAAAATAAAACCATGGTTGTAGAGTTTGGCTCCGTTATAGTAAAGGAAAATATTATGACATCTGTCAAAAATTTTAACAACCACCGCAGGAGAGAGGATAAATTAAATTCTACACACTTCAATATACAAGGACCAAAAACTCCAATCTTCATCTCTGAACACCTAACAGTGAGATCACGACAAATGTTCTATCTCGCTCGTGAATTCGCCACTGAAAACAAGTACAAATATTGTTGGACATCTTTTGGTCACATGTACTTAAGAAAAGATGACGGCTCGCTGCGCGTTACTATTGCTACCGAAAATGACCTCGAAAAGATCAAACTTAAATGACTAGTGCATATAAAATTCGGTTATGACATTTGGAATCATTATATTAAACTTGCTAATAAAACCAATGTTAACAAAAATATGCATGTTACACATTACATTAAACATAAATCAAAATTACACCAAAATCCCAAACACAAAAACACATTACATATATACGAAATACTTAATACGGTATTAGTAATCTATTGCTCAAATATATTTTATATCGTAAGTTCATATTCACCTATTTTGTCATTATATATTTATACAAATACTGTCATTTTACTAGTGTCAAATCGCTCTCTTCTAATTAACAATTGATAACATCCTAGTAGCTAAAGAACTAGATCGATCTATGGAAGCAAATTGTGTACTGTTGACCTACCCCACACAATGTAAAAAAATTTTAGATGTAGAAAAAATAGGAGAGCATAAATCGTTATGTATTTTATGTGTCAATATTAGAAGTGTTAATAAAAATTGTGATTCCTTTCTGTTTTTTGTTGAGCAATTGTGTATCGATGTTGACATAATTGTGTTCACAGAATGTTGGCTTGAAAAATATAGGACTATCCCTGATATTAATGGTTACAATTCTTTTTACACTAAAAATCTAATAAACCAAAATGATGGTGTTATAGCCTACGCAAAAACCACCCTAAATGTAACATGCAGTGAACCACCTCCCAGTGACGGGAACTTCTTAGTATTAACAGTTGATAAGGAAGTTAGTATTATATGTACTTATAGGCCACCTAGCTTCCAAAATCCTACAAACTACATAATATCTATCGGTAATATTGTATCAACAATTACTGACCCCAACATTATACGATATTAACCGGAGATATTAACATAAATATAATGCCAAACTGTATTATAGGATATGCAGCTGATTATATCAATCTTTTAGCATCTTATGGACTGTGTCAAAACGTTAATATTCCCACTAGAAAGAATGCATGCTTGGATCACTTTATGGTAATATCAAATAAAGTCACAAAAGCCATAGTTTTTCAGGAATTTACTGATCACCGCCCAATCTTACTTTATATGTATAATGCAGAAATTAATAAGAAGGAAATAAAACAAAATAGAACTTTTCTTGACTACAACACACTATCCAAAGAACTTAAATATGTTAAGTGAGACGACATTTACTTGACGAATGATGTTGAAGAAGCAACAAATATCCTTGTTAACCGCCTACAGAATATAATTATTACACATACTAAACCAATCCAGACATCTAACAAGAACAAGCCACTTAAACCATGGCTCACGGTGGGAATGGTCAAATCTATAAAACGTCGCGATAAACTACATAAAAGGCACAAAAAACACCCAGAAAATGAGCTTCACAGGAGAGAATTTGCTACTTATAGAAATATCTGTAATAAAATAATAAAAAAACTACGTAAACAATACTTTAGAAAATTGATAAGAGAAAATATGGGTAATGTGAAAGAGACATGGAAGATAATTAAAGAAATATGACATTTAAATACAACTAAAAGCTTACCTAAAAAACTTCTTGCTATTAAAGACTCTCCTATCTCTTCATTAAATAATGTTAACGAATTCTTCACCACAATTGGTGCAAAATTAGCAAATACTATACTATCTAAAATAGATAAAACTGAAGTGCAACTGTCCCGCACTGCTAAAATATCTGGACCTCCATTTTCAATGCCATTATACTTGACTGACACCAGCGAACTATGTGCAATAATAAACAGTTTGAAGACTAAAAGTGTACCAGGCGAAGACAACATCTCGTCAAAATTCTTGAAAACTTTCAGTTGTTATTTATCCGAACCTATCACGCATATATGTAATCTTAGTTTCACTGCAGGAAGATTTCCAAAATTGTTTAAAAATGCAATAGTAACCCCAATTTTTAAATCCGGAGATAAATCACAACCGTCTAACTACCGACCGATTTCACTACTATCATCACTGTCGAAAATAATTGAAAAAGTCTTCAATAAAAGATTAATAGCATTTCTGGAAAATAATAATCCAATAGCACCCAACCAGTTTGGTTTTAGGAGTAAACGTTCATGTAATGATGCCGTTTTAGAACTAACCTCTAAAATTTCCACGTACCTGGATCAGGGTGACAAATGTATTGGGGTGTCCTTAGACTTACAAAAAGCTTTCGATACGGTGTCTATCCCTGTCCTACTCACTCGTTTGGAAAATATTGGTGTTAGAGGAATCGCTCACGATTGGGTGTCCGATTTTTTGGATAGTAGAACCCAAAGAGTATGCGTGGGTAACGTTTATGGTAATTCCGCCGTCTGCGCTTATGGGATTCCGCAGGGCAGTACGTTAGGTCCAACGTAATTTTTAATTTACATTAACGAACTATGTAAAACAAACCTCTGTAATGCGGATCTTATCATGTTTGCTGATGACACAGTGCTTGTGTTCCACAACCCTACCTGGAACTCTGTTGTGGAAGGAGCTGAGATGGGCTTGAATAGAGTAACGCAATGGTTGGAGAATAGTCTGCTAACACTTAATACAGAAAAAGCTAAATATATTTGCTTCCATAAAACAGCTATAACACGTCCAACACCTAATATAAAATTAATAATTCACAAGTTTCCATGCAACATTAATAACAAAAATCAACAACACAATGATTGTAACTGCAACATACTAAAACAAACTGATAAAATTAAATATCTTGGGATAATTATTGATGAAAGACTTACATGGCGACATCACATCCGAAACAATTTACTTCAACCGAATTCATATCAACAATTGAGATATATACATATTGATAGACTTGATTTGAGGCTATATTTTATAAATAGTATGAAATAAATATATATTGTTTTCATCCTGTAAGCTACATCTTGTATGGGTGATACAGGCTATAATTTACGTGAACGAAGACTCGGAAATATACAAAAATAATAGTATAATTAGTCCAGGACTGAACCCTAAATGCGATCATGAAGAGCCTCTATCCAGTTCGACAGAGCCGTTAAATTCCCGGAGAACTGTTCTCCTCGAGGCTCTCCTTGCAAACTTACTCATCCGCCACCTTCTGAGTCTGTTGCCTCGTCAACCCATGAGACAACCATGTTTCCATGACCATGTCGGCCAATGGAGAGCTTGTGTAGCTACTGGCCGCGTCACCCTCAAATCTATAAGAAAATTTATTTATTTATTTTGACACTCTATTGCACAAAAACTAAATATAAATACATTGTAAGGTACAACAAATAAATTAAATTAACTACAGTTGTGCAATAGGCGGCCTTATCGTTGAACAGCAATTTTAATTGATTGCTGTTCAATGAATATTCAACCTGTTAATTGATACTGGTGGCAGGTGATTGTGGGTCATGCACAAAGTTAGGGAAATATCAAATAAATATATAAAATATCAATTAAAATATACATGGGTACGATACGCAGTAGCGAACATAAGGAGAAAATATCATGAGCTATAATAAGGAAAGCAAGGATAAAGGATTCAGATTTTAAGAAATATACCCATATGTTTTTGTTGCAGGTATCAAGTATTGTTCTTCGTGGTGACGTATGCGGTGCCTATGTTAGGAATGTCATTTTTCTACTCAGCGATGGGTAAAGTGCTGTGGGGTTCGCGATCCATAGGCGAAATGACTCAGAGGCAGGTCGATTCTATACGCTCAAAGCGAAAGGTAAAAACTAAACATATATTTGAAATCATTACATTTATTGAATAGTAATTATTATAGATAGAATATTCTTTATTATACACACAAAATAAAAAATACAGTTAAATAATAAAATGGAAGACGTATAATTGGCAGCCTTATCATTAAAAGTGGCGTGGATGAGAACGCAACCTTGGGATGGAGTTAAATATACAAAAAAAAAACTAATTTATTATGATACTTAATTTTTAACAAATCACCAATATTTCGGAAAAGGGGTTACATTTTAATGTGAGTTTAATTTTACTACGTTGAAAGTAAAGTCACATCTACCGAAATGTTTAATAATAAAAATATTTGTAAAAAGGAGCTGTTTTAGATACCAGACTATAATATAAAATTCACTAAAAATAAAGATTAATGATTAAGATAAGAAGTTATGTAACTATAAAAAATGAATAAAAATGATTGATCTACAGAGCACAACATGATCTTGTAGACTGTACTGAAATATACAATTTGCAATTGTTCCTACAACAAACATTTGTAAAGGAGACTTGGATGATTGTTACGGCCTTGATTTAAAATAACCATTTATTATGAAAACATCTCACAACTCAGACGGCTATTTCAGATATTTGATAAAAACTACTCTTGAACTGATTTGAAAGCGCATATTTCTTTGAAATATTTTACATAGGTAAAAGCTCCCAAAATATTTCAAAGAAAGATTTTTTGTAAGATTCGTGAAATAGACGAATAAGTTATTAATTTATGCACCAAAGACTTAAAAAAAATAATGTTATAGATGAAAAAAAAAACACGTAAAATTTGGTGAACTTTTTCAAAGTATCAAGTCGGTTTTATTAAAATAAGAAAAAAAAAACATTACATGTGCATTTGTTTGTGGGTGGTGGATGGTACATAGCAGAGCTTGCAGATATTGACTGAGGGTGGATGTACTAGACGTACAATCTTGACTTATTGTTTCTCCATCCAATGCTAGGGGTTGCATAGAAGAAATCGCT